CATGGTTATTTTTGGCAGCAGGCATCAAATACATGATGGCATGACTGGCCTAATGCCACGACTTGTTGAAGTTATACATAACAATTGATTGGTGTTAATCTCGATGATATATCTAATATCTAAACTCAGTTTCTGCTACAGTCTACATCAAAACACAAACCTCACTATCAAGAAGCTCTGAAACAAGGAATTTAATTTAACTCTATTTCATTATTCAACTCATGTGATCACCTCAGGTAACATTTCAGAGAAGTTAAATAATTTGTTCCTTGTCCAGTGAATTTGTGTTTAGTGATATACCAAAACCAAGGTAGTCAAAATCGAGTTTCAGATCGTAGAATCGTACGATTCTACAATCTCCAGGCAAGCTTCCGTGTCGAATCGGTGACGGAAACACAATTTGGTAGGATTGGTGGGATCGTGCTTGTTAGAGCGTAAAATCGTTCAAACGCACGATCTCAACGACATGAAGAAGACAACCTTTTGGGCCCCTTGACCCGTGACCCGACCCGACCACATTAAAGGGGTTGGAACCCTAAAATCAGAAAACTTCTACGCTGTGGTTTCTACCTTTCTTCTTCCCTCTGTTCTTCGATACTTCTTCCTCCGACTCTGCTGTTCAACCTCTCTGTGTCTTTCTGGCACTGCGACTTCGCTCAAGTGACTGGGATTTGGCTCCGGCGACTGGAACTTTTCTGCAATTGGGTCTGAGATTTTGTAATTTTTGTGCTTTTTTTTTTTCTTCTTCATCTTCATCATTTCTGGGCTATTGTGTGTGACTGGGATTTCTGTTTTTGTTTTTGTGCTCTCTGTTTTCTGTGCTACGGTTGTCTGCTACCATTAGATAAAATGGCTTCAACCAGTAGTCAAGCTCCTCCCTCTAAGTCATTACCAAAAAATGTACCGGAAAACAAAAGTGATGTAGCATGGCAACATGGGATTGCAATTGAAGGTACAAGAAAAATTCAATGCAAATATTGTCAAAAAGTTGGAAGTGGAGGTGTTTATAGATTGAAGCATCACTTGGCTCAAACAGCCAAAGATGTTGGAGCATGTAAATCTGTTCCGGATGAGGTCAAAAAGCAAATGTGGAATTTACTTGTAAGCATGCAAAAAAATTTGAATAAAAAATCAAATTCCTTTGCTGACTGTTCTGGTGAGAAAGAGACTTTAGATACAAGTAGTGGAAGCAAAAGAAAATCAAGTGAGAATGAGGTAACTGGAGGAGGAAATATTTTTAGGAAAAGGAGCACCCAAGCAACAATTAACAACATATTCAACAAAACTAGAAGAGAGGAGGCTTGTCAAGCTATTGGAAGATTTTTTTATAATAATGCCATATCATTCAATGTGGCAATAAGTGATGAATTTTCTGTTATGCGTGATTTAATTGTTAGCCATGGTCCTAGATTTAAACCACCAAGCTATCATGAAATTAAAGTAATGTATTTAAAGAAGGAAATAGAGTTAACAAAAGAGAGATTAGAAGAACATAGAGCTGAATGGAATACTGTTGGACGCACATTAATGACTGATGGATGGATTGATAAGAGGAGGAGAGCAATATTGAACTTCTTGGTGAATAGTCCTAAAGGAACTATTTTTTTGAAATCTATTGATGCATCTCATATAGAAAAAAATAGCTGATAAAATATTTAAAATGATTGACGATTTTGTTGAAGAAATTGGTGAAAAAAATGTAGTCCAAGTTGTGACTGATAATGCAGCAAGTTATAAAGCTGCAGAGGAGATGTTAATGTAAAAAAGGAAACACTTGTATTGGATCCCTTGTGCAGCACATTGCATTGATTTGATGCTGAAGAACTTTGAGAAGAAGATACAGATGCATGAAGAGACAATTCCAAAAAGTAAAAAAATTACAACCTACATCTATTCAAGAACGGGTCTTATTTCTCTATTGCAACATTTTACCAAAGACAAAGATTTGGTAAGGCCAGGAATTACTCATTTTGCTACATCTTATTTGACTCTAGGGTGCCTTCAAGAAAATAGAACTGTTTTGATAAGAATGTTTACATCTAATGAATGGAAGTCCTCTAAGTTTGCTAAGACAAAGGATGGGAGAGTTCTAGAAGTATTGATTTTGAATAAGAGTTTTGGAAGGATATAATCACTTGTTTGAAGGTTGAATTTCTTCTTATTAAAGTTCTTCGAATGGTTGATTCAGATGAAGAAACTATGGACTTTATTTATGAGGCAATGGATCAAGCTAAAGAGAATATTCAAATTGCTTTCAATGATGTTAAGAAAAGGTAACTAACTATAATCTATCAAATTAAATTAGTCTCTATTTTGTGATCTATGTTGTATTATATATTAAATCTTTGTTGTTTGCTCTTCATCAGTTATGTACCTATATGGAATATCATAGATGGAAGATGGGATAAACAGCTCCATAGATCTTTGCATGCTGCAGGCTATTTTCTTAATTCTAGGATGCACTATAGTCCTAAATTTAAAACTGATCTTAAAGTTAAGCGTAGACTATATGGTTGTTTGACAAGGATGGTACTTGATCAAGATGAACAATGTAAAATTGATTGTCAACTTGATTCATTTAGAAAGCGAGCTGGTAATTTTGGTAGCCACTTGGCTAGAAATACTATTGATATACGTTTGCTAACTGATTGGTGGATGTCTCATGGAGATGAGTATCTCGAGCTTCAAAAATTTGTTATTCGAATACTAAGCTTGACATATAGTTCTTCTGGATGTGAACGTAACTGGAGCGCCTTTGAGATGGTAAGTAAAAATTCTTTTTTCTAAAATTATGTACCAAGCTAGCCAAGTATTTTTTTTATCTTAAATTATAATTTAATATATTATTATTTGTTTAGGTGCATACTAAAAGAAGAAACCATTTGAAGCAAAATACAATGAATAATGTAGTATTTGTTATGGCAAATTCAAAATTAGCCAAGAAGAAGACAGCTAGGAGAGTGAAGGATCTTCACATAAATGTAAATGATATTCTATCTGACAATGAGTGGATAGTAGAAAATAATGATAGAGGAAATCATAAAGATTTGGGTCTAGAAGACAATTTGGAAGATGAGGACATTCAGGTTGATGCTCTTGATGAAGATGGGGACTTGGATGTAGACCAAGGATCAAATCAAGATGTTGGTGTTGGTGATGTTCCTAATATAAACAATTTTGATGATGAAGGAGATGATGGACCAAATGAAGATAATGAAGGAGATGACGACTTTTTTTATTATCAAAATATTTTAGATATGATAAAATAGATATTTAAAGTTTGGATATTGATTTTGTATTTTGTTTGGAACTTTATGTTGGACATGTTCTTAATATTTATCTTTTAAAGTATTGTGGTTTGAATTAATGTTTTTATTTTCTTACTATTTATAATATTTTGTATGTATATATACAATTTTGTAGGATCTTACGTTCCATGTTACGATCCTACAAGTTACGATCTTGAACCCCCTCTCCGATCCTAAGTAAAATCTCGATTTTCACTACCATGACCAAAACCATTAAGAGGATGATTTAAGAACTTAAGTATCTCTATGACAGAATTTAGATTTGACTTCTATTTGATGTTCAGCTCATGGTGTTTAGTAAATGTGTTTCTACTTTCTATTACTTATATATTCAACAAGACTAGGTAACTTTACAACAAATGACAACCACGCCTTTTCTTACCTGGTAGAGTCAATTACATAGATCAAATGATGTCATAATAAGCTGCCATAAATCATGTCTAAAAACAAAGTATTGACTTTGAAATCCTTCTTAAATGTTTCACCTATAGTTTTTATCAGTCTCCCACTGCATCTTGCAACTGGGCTACCCTCCATTTAAATTACTCTCCTTACTAGCACTTTTACAGGTCTTTTCCACACATGTCCAAACCACCTAAAGTGAGATTCTATCATCTTTTCTACAATAGGTGTCATTCCAACTTTTTCCTAATGCTTACATTCATAATCCTATCTTGTCCAGTAAGACTAGATAAATTTGTCGTAGACCATAGTGAAATTTTGAAGCTAATCTCAAGTTCTCAACTAGTGAAATAAGGCTTGGTTGTTAGGGTTAGACCATAATGAAATTTGTTTCTTTTACCATTTCTCTATGTTTTATTCCTCTTCTTTTCTCAAGATTGATCATTCACATATAGCATTTGAGGTAGACAGTTTATATTTCACTGAAAGCACCCCACAGATGAATGATGCCAATAGCTGTAATATGTGGCAAGACACATACACATCACATTCTCAACAGTCGCCACCATATAAACAAGAAAAGGTAAAAAAAATTAACGTTGTGAATAAGGCCTGGGATGTTCCATACAATGAAGAGTAAAGAACTTGCTTTTTTGAATCGATGGTATATTGGATGTTGCACAAAATGAAGAGTATTAAATGTTGCACTCAATGAGCTCCATATATGGTTCTGATGCGGGCCTGTGATTTAACTCTAGCATTCCATGATATTCAATCAATTGCCATGCTATAAAATAGTAACAATTAAGCTTTTTGGTTAATGGTAGTTTTAAAAAATGGTTTTGCAGTGGAGGGGTTTTACTTCGTCAGAGATTCTATTCATGGTTTCTATGCTATTTGAGCTTCTTATTGCAGGTTTTATTAACTTAAGTTCTGAATTGTGATTCACATTGAGTAGTTTCTGTATTAGGATTCAAAGACCATCATGAATTTGGACTTGGATATAAACCAATGAAATGAAGAAGTTTAAAAAATAAAGCAGCCACAAAATTCATCTACTTGGATAGCTCCACAGTACACAATTCCTGCAGCCCATTTCATGATGAATGCAAGATTTTCATAGATCTAATTCAGCCTCCATCAAATGTAAATATATTATTCAATATGTTATAATTTATAGTTTCCATTAAACCTTTTTATTGCAAATTCAAGGAGCACAAAACCTAAAATTTTCAGACACAGCATTAGAATGATCAGATAGAACAAATAAATATATCAAAATATGCATACCTCATCCCTATCAAAGTTGTCACCACTGTGAGGATCAAATAACACATCTCCAGTAGCAAGCTCAAAACAAATGCAAGCAAAGGACCAAAGATCTGCAGAAGTAGAATACTTTGATCCAAGGATCACCTCTGGGCACCGATATTGTCTTGTCTGGATGTCACTTGTAAACTGTTTATATGTCCAGCAAGCATTACCAAAGTCAACTAACTTGCACTTGAGATCAACCGATGCCAGCAGCTTCTGTCTCATCGAGCGGCTTCCTCGTTTGTTACCCTGCTCTTTCAACTTTGTTCCATCAGCATCTGATAACCTACTAGTTCCTGCAGAACTAGAAGCCTGTTCTCTTGCATTAGGAGATGATTCAACAGCCCCTGATGTTTCAGCATTACCCTCAACTCCTTCAAAAGCTTCCTTCTCAACACACCCATGAGCCGCTTGCTTAGCCTTTCTTTTAATCTTTTTCTTATGATTCTTAATCAAATCCCCATTCGACGTCTTCAAATCTTTCGCAGCCGCCGACTCCAGTGCTGTCTTATCTCTACTATTGGGAAGAATAAGAGGGGCACCAGACTTCCTAGGATCCTTAGAAGGATCTATCATGGACAAAAGGAGTATGTTTTCGGGTTTCAAATCAGTATGTATAATCGAAAGCTGTTTATGCAAGTAATCCAATCCAACAAGAATATGAAAGCATATCTCTTTAACCATACTAATAGGCATTCCGCGATAGTCAGAATACTTAATAAGAGTTAAAAGATTATCCCCAAGGTACTCAAACACCATACAAACATGCTGTCCATTGGGACCAGAATGCTTAAAATGATCCAAAAGCTTCACCACACACTTTTTATCATCAGGGTCTCCCTCTGCAATCTGTTGCAGAATCGTTATCTCGTCCATGGCAGCCTCAGTGTAATGCTGAGCACTCTTTTGAACCTTCAAAGCCACGTATCTCTGCAGATCTCCACACACAAAAAACAACACCATAGTCAAAAACAAAAATAATTAAAAACCGGTGTTTACAGTTGCTAAGTGCCAGCAATTTGTTATATCGTTTGGATGAAAACGAGGGTTTGGAGAAAATATGAAAAGAGGAAGTTAAAGAGAGATTCACAGACAGAATGTTTGGTGTCCCAAGCGAGCCAAACGGTGGAGAAATGGCCCCAACCGAGCTTGCTCTGAACGACGTAAAGACCGGAGTTGAAGGTGTCGCCGATTCGTACAGCGTGGTAACCGCCGCGACGGTAATCCTCGGTGCCTTCGTCCTCGGAGGTGAAATCGCTGCTGTCGTCTTGGTGTTTGTCTCCCATTTGATGGGTCCCACTTGATCCCTTCTACGATACAAGAGCGAACACTGAGAGAGAGAGAGAGAGAGAGAGAGAGAGAGAGAGAGAGAGAGAGAGAGGGTTTGGTTTTTGAGAGAGAAACGAGATGGGGAAGAGTGGGTTTTCCCTTCTCTTCTCTTCCCGGTTAATTTAATTGAGTGAGGTGTCATCTTCCCCATACGTATATATATAGTTATACTCATTCCCTTTTTCATCATATTCCACTATCTTCCCTTGTCCTACCACTCTTCTTCTGTAAAATTTATTATAAATATTGTTTATTTTTATTTCGTTGTCATGAAAAATTTTGTTTATTTTGCATTAATGTGGTTTTACAGAATTAAAACGGTTAAACTTTTTAAATGGCTATTATTAATACTAATTTATCCTGATGAAACTTCTTGTCATATACTTTTTAAATGACCATTAACAATTAAGGATTTTAGATCTAAAATGAATAATTGTGTAAAATTTTAAGAAATAGAATGTCTTTATTGTTTATTTAAGTTAGATATATTTTTTATTTTAATTTTTTTATTTATTTAAAACGTAAATATTTATCATGAAATATTTTTTAATTAAAAATATTCTTAATATGATAGGGTTATCTCTCCAACAAGACTCAAATTTAAGATATTGCTCAAATGAAATCAATCATCAGTAGTGCTTTCACACTTTGCTCTTTTTTACAAAAAGAAAAAGTCAAACAAGTTTAAAGTTTTAAATGAGAAGTAGTAGATAAATAATTAATAAAAAAAAAAAAGATAAATGCATTTGGGAGTTGGGACACACTTTGTTTTTTCTTTATATGAACTAAATCTAGTAATTCAGTTTAAATAGCTGTCAAGTTAAAATTTATTATTATTAATTTAATTTGTTAATTATTTTTAATAAAGGGATTTCATATTTTTTGGAAGTTTTATATTATTTTTATATGTTTAAAATTTTCCTTGAAATAATATATAAATATAAATATATTTAATATTTTTTATAAAAAAATTGTTACATAATATTTTATTATATACTTCATCTACTATTTTAATTAATATTTTGCTTATTAATTATTATCTACTAAATACACATTGATTATTAAAGATAAAGTTATAAAAAAATATTTATTAATTTTATAAAATGACAATAAAAAGTGGACAAAATATAATTATTATAAGTGTTGAATGGAAAAAAAAAATGAAAACGAATATTATATATTACATTAAATTTGCAGTTTTTTTCTCCAATGACAACAACACACTTTTTCCATTTGATTTAGTGCTATTAAATGAACTAAGCTACACGTGTATTTAACGCCCACATATGTTGAGTGAAAGTGAAAAAAAAAAAAAAAAACTATCTCAACTCTTTAGTTTCTTTTACATTGTATTTCCTAAGATGCTTTTAGAATGTTTGCTTCCATTCTAAAATATAATTTTTTAATTAAAATTATTAAAAAATGTTTGTTAATTTAACTTTTGAAAATAATTTTTAATTTTTAAAATAAAAATAATTTCTAAGGTATTTTGATTTTTGTTATTTTATTTTCTTTACATATATATATTGTTAGTTTAAAATAATTTTTTATTTTAACAAATCATAAATTTAAAATAAAAATGAAAATATTATTTTATTTATTAATTTATATGTAATATAAATTAAATATCGTATAATTCTTGTTGTGTTTCATTTTTTATTGTAATAGTTTTTATTATATTTGAGAAGTAATATTTTTAGAATTAATTAATATTTTTTAGCTTAATATTAATTTATATTTTATAATTTTTATAATTTATTAAATTATGTATGAATTGCAAGCATTATTTCAAAAACAGTAATTTTTTAGTATAATATTAATTAAATTTTGATAATTTAATAAATTTTCAATTCAATATTTATTAACTATAAAAAATATATTTAAGTAAATAAAAATACTAAAATTAAATATCAAATGTAGATACATAGATTTATATATTTATTTAATTGAAAATACTAAATAATAAATACATAAAACTAAACACGTTTTTTATTAGCTTTTAAAAACAAAATCATGAAACACGTTTTTTTATTTTTCTCATCTTAAAAAAATTGAAAATTAAACCAATAAACAAGTTTTACTTTCATTTTTTTTTTCTTAAAATCAGTTTTTAAAAATTAAAAACTAAAACGAAAAGAAGCAAACCTTAGTTTTTTTAATTTGCCTAAATATTAAACTTAAGTATATATTTTTGACCACTAATTGAGCCCTTGAATTTGGTATGGTATTTCATGCATTAAAAGTTTGTTATCAATGACTATGAATCATGATATAATTTCGGAATATGATAAATTGTTAATGGTTAAATAACTTTATTCTTCAAGTGACATGATTTAAAGATTCAAAATCAGAAATTAATGAAAAATGAATATTAATATTTCTCATGCGCTGGACCAAATCAAATCGATTTATGTCAAATTAGCCTATGGTCATAAAAAGCCTCCCATAAAGACGAAGAAATTATGCCTAGTCAAAAGTCGTTAACGTCTTGTAAACTATCATTTGGTGTCAAAGTTACAAGTTAACATCGTTCTTAAGAGGAGCTTTATAAATATTAAATAAGCTAAACGGTATATATAATAAATATTAAGAGATAATGGCACCTATCATTTTTCAGAATGCCATGATGGGGTGGGTGTATGTGGTGTCGCCATATCATTGCTAATGAAACTTAGCAATATGGAGATTTGGTTGATTGGACCACGCAAAGTGCTTAAGCCATTAAAACATTTATTAAAATCTATGTTAAAAATATCACAAACACATGCAGTAATAATAGTTTTAATGGTTTTTTAATTCATTAACAACCCTTTTTAGCATTTGTTTTTAATCTATTAAATTGATAAAATATTCACAGATAAAATAATAAGAAGTTTAGAATTGGTCGGCCAAATGGCAAGACATTTAACTAATCACTTTTTTTTTTTCTTCTTTTTGCCTCCAGTGCTTTATATATAATGGTCTAGTGGGATTTGTGTCTCTGATTTAATTTAAGCTGCTCCATACACTCTTAATAGTAAAAGAAAAATTGAATACCAAATTCAACCTGTACTGGTCCTAACTAAATCAGCCCATAAATCATCTTGATTAGGCTGGGTAAAACCTTACTTTTTAACAATGCTTTTGTTAATTGTAATAACTTTTTTAACTTACGAGTTTTTTCTCTTAAACTTATTATCTGTGAGGGTATTGATTCTTCTTTGTATTCAATGATTAATATTGTGTTTATGTGTCCCATTAATTTTAATCAAAATGTACATTTATTGATTTACTTTTAATAAAACAAGCCACTTATAGTAAATATTTTCTTTAGATTTTTAATAATAAATAAATAAATAAATAAAGGATTTATCAAAATTCATAAAAAGTAATTATATGTCACAAGATTTATAGTATATTTTAAAATATATATTATAATAAATAGTTAAATTGATAATTCATGTATTAAATAAATGAATATATACATTTATATTCACAAATGCTTACAATGAATAAAATAGAAAAAAGTTACCAATTAATTTATCTAAAAATATATCTTTATTTTTTATATATAACAAAATAATAAGTATTTTTTTTATAAATAAATCTGAAAGAACTATTATTAAAAGTATTGATACTCTCATAAAACAAAGATATCAAATAACCCCTTGTAATTTGTCATGAATTGCATTAATAAAAATAACATATACTTGATAGTTTATACCTAACTCAGATTTGGTAATTATTGTGTTAGTATGTGATTATTTCAGTAGACCAATGTGTGTGTGTAATCAGATGTAGTAGAAGTTAATATCTCTTTGTAGTATATATTTCCTTTTTATTTTAATTTACGGTAGTATTATTTTTGTTATGAAGATTAACTTTATCTTTTATAATATATTTTTATTATTAAAAGAATAACATTTACTTTTTAATTGTGATAATTTATTTCTAGTTGACAAATATTACACATACATATATGTATGTATTAATACATACATAAAATAATATTAATATTTAAATATAAAGACATATTTATCATACACTATCTTTTTAGGATAAAGTAAATCTAAATCTTCTATCAAATTTTTTTGAACTCAACGGGATCCAAAAAAATTAGGTTGTGGGAGTGAAAAACATAGAAACCAAACATTGGAATAATTTGTATAGTTATGATCATCCTACCAAACAAATCTGAAGACAAACATTGAACTAATTGAATGGCATTAAATGTGATATTATCAAAGATTGGAGACAAGTTATACAAATAATACATCTATTGCTAACACTATAAAGTTAGAAAGAGATGACTATGAGATGAATTGGGATTAAGGTCCCACGACTTGATGAATATAAATATAAGAAAATCATGCTAAGTAATGCAAGTGATCAGGTGAATGCTTCTATGTTATGACATGTGCAAGTTTGGTCGTTGAAATTGAGTTGTAAGTTTGCGAATGTTGATTTATATGTGAAGTTGTTGCTTTGTAAAAAGGGTTTTCGATTGAAATGAATGACTATGCAATATCAATGTGTGCCAAATATGCCCAGTAAAAGGGCAAATTTCATAAGGTGAGAAGGAATTTGGAGAGTTGCAATAAATTGGGATACTCTAGAGGGTGGTGGTGACATATTTGACATATAAATAACAAGTTCCATAGTAGAATAAGGCTCTATTGTTCAACCCTTGGGAGATAAATTCTTAGACTGGGAGGTAGTGGTATATTCAATATATAAAGAACCAAGTCAAAACCCATACACATGGCTCGAGTAAAATGTCATTCATTTTGCTATCAAATGACAATGCATTGATTCTATGTAAAGAATTATGTATGGATTTAAGGACCATGAATTTGATAAAAATGATGGTAGTTTTATTCCAGGTAAACAAGATATTTTCCTAAAAGCTTTTGAGAAAATTATATATGTCAATCATTCAATATGAAAATCTATCCGTGGTCAATATACAATTGATTCATAAAAAGACTAAAATAATGTGAAATATTTATTTGCATATTGATTATAAAGAGGTTAACTCTTGTCCTTAAGATTAGAAATTCAAGTACTTGTTATTATTGTACTATTTTTTTTTATCTGTAATGTATTTTGGGTAGTTCTTTTATTGATCTGTAAAAACTTGCTCTCTACTTGTTGTCATATTTTAAGTATTGACCTGGTGTGCATTATTAATATATAATTAATTTAAATGATAAATTTTTAATTCTTTTAAAGTAATGTCTCAAGTTCAAATCACTGTACATGAAAAAAATAATTCCAATAAAAAAAACTAAATCTAAACATGAATCTTTAGTCAACGTTATTACCATGTAATACGAATATTAACCCTATATTTTAAATATAATATAACATTTAAAAAATCTATGTAATATAAATATTTATACGTGTACTTTAAAAATAATTATATGGTCTTTTTAACTTTTCATTTTCATTTTATTTGAATATATAAAACTCGTTAAATAAAAATAGTGCATTTAAAATGTATATTATTAACATTTTATTGTCCTAATATACTTTAAAGTATTTCACTGCTATAACAAAAATATTTATTATTGTGATTTGAAAAATTATAAGAGGAGTGGATAGTGTTCCTACTTTTATAACAATGAATAATTTAAAATATGTCTCCATCTCCTTTTTAAACATAATAATTTCAAGTTCTTTCTCTTCTTCACTCGCTCTTTTTTTTCTTCTTCTTTTTATTTAATTTATACAAGATGAGTCCTAAGAGTAAAAATCCTAGCTTTATAATGTTAATTAGTTGCTACAAAAAATAATAATTGTATTAAACAATATTTAATCGATTGGATTCCTTGCTGAATTATCATTTAAGTGGTGATCCTTGTAAAAAAAAAGTGGAGATTTACTTATGTTATGTGATCAACTTAGTGCCCATTGACACTTCATGATTATGAACTATGAATATATCTTGTATTACTAGCCTCTATTGTTTTTTCGTGGAACAGAAACATGACCACGTTATAATATTACTAATAACTCGTATTCCTTGTCAAAGTTTTAACATGAAATTCATTTTTTGAGATTATCTTTAGGAGTTAAGTTCACGAGAGAGGAGAGGGAAAGAGTTAAAAGAAGTTTAATTTGATTTAAGAATTGCTTAATTAGGAGGGAAAAGTTTTTAAAATTTTTTTAAATCTTCTAAAAATTTGTTTTTTAAGTTATCTCATTATTAGAATTTTCTCTCTTCCACTCTTTCATATTATTTCATAAATAAAATTTTAACTTTTTTTAAAAAATTTAATTTTTTAAGTGATATTTTTTTTAAAAAATAAAAATATTATATTTTAAATTATTTATATAATTAAACTCCATATTACTCTTCCTTCTTAATATTAAATATTCAAATTAGGAAGAAATTTAACCTCATTCTTCTTCCATTCCTCTCATTCTCCCTTCAAACCTTTTTCATTTCTCTCTTTTCAAACTCCCAAACAAAGTTTAAGACTATATTTAGAAGTTAGGTTTAGAAGGAGAGGGAAGAGAAGAAGTTATAAATAATTTAATTTTATTTGAAAATTGCTTAATTATGGATATCGCATTATTTTTCCTATAAGATAGTTCAATAGTAAATTCTTAAAAAATATTAGAATAAGTCTAAAAAATACTATTTATTATTATTATTATTACAAATATAAAAAATGGCATTCCACTTCTAAGGAAGGAACATTATAAATTATACAAATCATACTTCTTCCATCATATTAAAAAAAGGAAAATTATAATTTGTTTATATAAATAATGCTTTCAAATGTGTATATTTAGATTAGTTTTTAAAATTAAACCTGACTTTTTTTAATAAAAAATAATTAAAAGAGTCGATTGTATTATCTTAAGTAAAAAAAAATATATTTAAAAAGTCTATTTTTTTAGTGTTGGGTAATCAGATTATAAATTAAAATAAAATAATTCATTTTTTAATATATTCTTTTAAATACATCTTTATTATTAATTAAAATTTATTAAAAAATATAAATTTTTAGTTTAACAAGTTTTACTCGTATTTTTATAATTTCAAAAAATTTTAATCAGTAAATAAAAATATATTAAAAAGAATGTGATTCTTAATATTCCTCTTGATAAAATCGTGGCCCATATTACCCAGCAAAAAGATTTCTGGTCCGGGAAAGTAGTTTGGGCTATTCACTTTGGGCCCGTATGACACGGGCCGAGCTATTTTGGTGGCGTTTTTGTGGTTTTATAATAACCGAAGGCTAATTATCGTGATTTTGGCGTATACATAGGGGACATTGAGTTCTAGGGTTTCTATCACCAAGGAGATCGAGGAGGAGGAAGAGCAGCAGCAGCAGCAGCAGCAATGGTTCTCAAGTACGTTTCCCCCAAAATCAACATCTGTTCTCTTGTTCGAGGTTTTCATCCTTTAGGTTCATTTTTTTTTTTTGGAATTGAATGTCGCTTTTTGCATGCTGCGTTTTGAAACTAACCATCCATTTTGAGTTTCATTACACATGTTGGATGCGAACACGCGACATGTCGTTTCGTCGTTCTCCTTTTGATGGCTGTGTTGTGGTCGTTATAATCGACTTTAGCTCGCGAAAATGGAACTTTTTTCTTTTTTGTTTGAAATTATCGTTGTTTTACAGATATGTTTGTTAGGAAATTGGCATTATTGGACTAATTTACAATACATGAAAGATCTGCATTGCTGTTTATGTTTTCTTAGTTGATAATGTACTAAACATTCTGAAGTGTGCCTCTTTTTTTTATCATTTTAGGTGCAGTAGAACTGTTTGGGTTTGTGATTGAGTGTTTTTTTTTAAGAAAAAAGAGATTTTGTTGAAGCAAATATGATCTTTCAGCATTCTGTTTTTTGTACTTGAAAACAACCAACTATTTAGTGTTTTATTACATATCCATTGGTGAACGTGCTCAGTTGGATGGGAACGTGTGACATGTTGTTTTTCCTTTCTCCTTTTTTATGGCTATGTTGTCATTTTTTTGAACCTGTGAATTTGGTTTATCAAATTGTTAACCGTTTTGCCTTGGTTCATTATCAATGTTATTATCTTTTCCTGCAGATGGAATCATCAATTTTATATTACCTTTATGAGGCTCTGCTTTTTGCTTGAGTTGAGATTGTTGTTCTGTAGAGTCATTTATTTGAAATTTTACATTATTGGACTAAATTACAAAACACGAAAGATCCACACTACGATTATTTTGGCGTTTTCTAAGTTGGGAAGAAATTAAACATGTAGAAGTGCACCGTTTTTTTTTTCAATCTTTAGGTATTTGTGCTTGTGATCAAGTTGTTTTAATATTTTCTAAAAGTGAAAATCTTCAGTTTTCACTTTTCAGAAATAGGAAAAATAGATTTTAAAGAATTGATCAAAACATTTCTAATGACAAAAGTCAGCCCTAAATCTAACAGTGTATAATTGTTATTAATTAAATGAGTAATCAAAAGTCTTCTCACTGGTATTTGTTATTGGTGTGTTAGGACTGAGCTTTGCCGTTTTAGTGGTGCAAAGATCTATCCCGGGAAAGGCATCAGATTTGTTCGTGGTGATTCTCAGGTGACATAATTGTGGCACTTGTTGAATTTTTGGGCTGATGATATTAGACTCTGAATGTGATGTTTGTTATGATGTCTTCATAATTGATAATCATGTGAGAGTTTATGATGTTTGTTAATTGAGTAGGTCTTCCTCTTTGCCAACTCAAAATGCAAAAGGTATTTCCACAACCGGTTGAAGCCATCAAAGCTCACATGGACTGCCATGTATAGGAAGCAACACAAGAAGGTGAATATTTAGTTGAAATTATTTGTATACAACATAGGCAGTATCAACTGTCATAAAACCCTTGTACTTCAATTGTGAAATGAGACTTGTCATTAAATGGATAAGGTGAATATGTTATACACTTGTTTGAGTTGAGTTTGTACCTCTAAACAGGTTACTGTGCCACATATGCATGCTACTGTTAAATTGACTTGTAATTGCAGTGCCTGTGATTGTTTAATTACATGTATACTGACTTTTTGTTTATGTATGTGTTTTGTAGGATATTGCTCAAGAAGCTGTGAAGAAGAGGCGTCGAACTACCAAGAGGCCTTACTCTAGGTCCATTGTTGGGGCTACCTTGGAAGTTATTCAGAAAAGAAGAACTGAGAAGCCAGAGGTTCGGGATGCTGCTAGAGAAGCTGCTCTTCGGTGTGTTATCTTATTAATTTCTATTTGTAGATTCTGTATTGGCATATGCTAACTTGAAACTTGTATATAAAATGCTAACTTGTACATGTAACATCATCTCTGTTTTTGCAATCTCTATATATAATTAGCTCTTTGTATTTGCCTACAGATATGGCTACTATGTCTCACCATCTTAAGTCATTGTGTTTTGCAGTGAAATTAAAGAGAGGGTCAAGAAAACGAAGGATGAGAAGAGAGCTAAGAAGGCAGAAGTTCAGGCTAAGTTACAGAAATCACAAGGCAAAAGCAATGTCTCCAAGGCTGCTGCTCCCAAAGGCCCCAAGCTTGGTGGTGGAGGTGGCAAGCGCTGAGATTTTAGTTTTCTTCCTTTTGGGCCTAGCACTTAAATAGAGTTGATATGTTCCTATTGTACTGATATTTTATTTGGTTGATTATCAAAACTTGGGTTTGGAGCTTAGAGTACCTAGCTAATGGATTTTGCCGGCAGAGCTAGTTTTAATTTTATACAAATTATCTTCAGCGTTTTTTGAATCTTCATATTGTGAGGTGGTATCCCCATTTTCCAAAATCATATTTCAAATTACCATCTACTGGCTTATTAATATGGATGATTCTTCTATACACCGTTTGGTATTGGGGGTGCACCTATTCAATTTGAAGCCGTTTTAAATTTAACTCGTGATATAATGCGATTGAATGCGATCAAAAGAAAAATCTCCTTGTGTAGATTTCAGATCTAATTATTAAATGTGACATATTCTAACATATTTCCGAAACCCGAAATGAAATTAGTTGTTCACGATGCACGCAAATTGAGTTGTGACTACAATTAAAGCCATTTAAAGATGAAATGTCGGGTCGGGCCTTGTATGAATACATGAAATTCCGATGAAAAGGTTGGGGTTAGTTTTTTCTATGGAACCTTCAATAAAATTCTATAACTTGAAACGCGTTTATACAAGTTTTCATTCGACTTTTCAACCAGTTCCGAGTCATACTTTCTGTTGAAATATCAAATGGCAGCCAGATATAGTTGAAGTTCGGATCAATCACCATAAATATCTGAACGATCTCAGCCATCAATTTTTTTTGGTCCAGGGGAGGGGATAGGGATTGGGTGAGAGATATGAGTACGATTTTTGTACCTGACAGTAGTTTGAATCCTGCTCTTTATATTTTATGTCTCTTTTACTTTAATAGTAAGCTATCAAGCAGGAACGCAAGTAAGGTTTTTAACAGATCCATTGGGGTGTTCAATTTTCAATCAACCTTAACAAGCCATGGGTATATTGGGTAGTCTTATGAGTTACGAGTATTTGAAACATACATGTTTTAATCCTGTTCGAAAAGGCAAAAAAATGCACATTTTGATGTTTAAAATTTGGAATATAATAACAATTAAATTGGAATTCTAATAATGTAATTTTTTACGCTATCATTTAATTAATTGTTGAAAATAATAATTATTTTAAAAGTGAGATTTAGGATAACTTTTAGTTAGTTGATAGTATAACAATTTTTACACTAACGCTATTAAAATTAAACTTATATAATACAGGTTTTTCTATTTGAAAATTTCTCTTCATAGAGCTCCTAACTTCTTCTTATTATTAAAGAACAAAGATGTATTGGGCTTTACGTATTAACGAGCGGGATATTATTAGTGATTTGAACCAAGTTTTAGTAGCTAATGGCAGGAATCTCTTCTCTAATCGTCAAATGTTATTTTGTTGAAAACGATGGATTGCATGAAGTAGTGAAGAGGGGAAGAACAAAATTGAGGCGCTGGCCTTTCTTATGAAGAAGGGTCACACATAAGGAGTTGAAGAGAGACAATGAAGATTGACCAAAAACAAAGAGAAAATGAAGGGTTAAACATCTCCTGTTATTGGTCGCCTTACTTCTTAGACCTATCAAGGTTGTAATTAGTTTTCGAATAAGAGAGGGATTACATTAACGCATCGTGTTAAAGTTAATTTTGAGCCTCGATTAGTGTCAAAATGATCTTCAAATTCATTAAATGCAAAGGTAATACTTCAAAAATACTGATAATCATCAAAAGTTATATTCGGTAATTACTGTTAATTTTAAACAGTACTATATTGTTAATTCATTTGTCTTCAAAAAAATTATAAACGGATGAATTACTAGTCAATATGTTAATCATGGATTAAAATTTGAAAAGACATTCAAAAATATTTAAAAGAGCTATATATAATTTTCTTCTAAACAAGTACTTGTTATTAGAACATGACTCAAACTTCCATGGAGCCGTAGCAAAAATTACAATTTACAATAGTACATTTGATAATGTAAAATGTTTGTTTTAAAATTTACTTTTTTTTTTTTTTGAAATCTTATCTTATCTTCAAATCACAATGTTATCTTCCTTTGAAAATATATATTACTATATAAAAGGACTTGATATTAGTTATTACTAAAAAGAAATTAAATTACAACATAATATATTGAAATATAAAGTTAAATTGTGATTATAGAGTTAAGTTAAAATATACTGACTAATTAGAATATGTAATTGTAAAGTTAAGTTAAAACATTTTTTAAATAATAGTTGAAATAATTTTATTATATTTATATAATATTTAAAATAACTGTGCATGAACTAATAAATCATATATTTTTAACGTCATAGGCCTTACTTGTCTATGCTTTGAGGCAACCTTACCTTTTATTCTTATGAATTTACTGGTTTTAGAATAATTTTTGCAACTGATTATAAAATTTGAATTTCACATGTATTAGTTGTTAATAATGAAGAAGAGTAACTAGACTTAAAAACAAAGATTGAAGGAGGAGAGTGTCACCTAAGCAAAAGTATTAAAATAAAAAATAATATCACTTATATTGCTAATATTTTAAAACCAATATTGTTCGTTAAACTAATAGAGACCTTACTAGTCTTATAGTACTTGAATAGTAGTCCAATTAGTAATAATTAAAAATTATATAATTCAAAAAAATATTATATGATGTAGTAAATTACGTTGGTTTAATATATCAGATTACATAAAAAAAATGATGAAAAACATAATATTTATAAATATAAATAAATAAATAAATAAATAAGAGAAAATATAAAACATAATGATAACATTTACTAGTGTTATGTCAATAATTGCTATATGAGATAGTTTGATACTCAAAGAAAAAGTAAAATCAGATAGGAAAATAACTCAACAAATTACATGATCCCATTGTATATAATAACCAATATTCATTTTGAAACCTCAATTTTAATAGGCTTATTAAGCAAGTGTTGAGCCTATAGAAGTCAAAGCCTAGCTCATGTGACTAGGGTTACACTTTTCACCCTTCTCTAACTACTTAGTTTAACTTGATTCTTCCACGACAATCATGAGATAAAGGAGATCGATGCTTGAGGGGTTAAAAGATAGGTGCTCCTGTTTCTGAAAAGATAGAGCTCAACACCGTGCTATTGTCTTGAGAGTCGAGAGAAGGGACCATAGCAGTTGAGAGAGTTGAAATCTCCCTGACAGTATTTCTGGTTAAACAAGGAAGCCCCTCATCAACCATAAAAGTGGTTCTTCTTTTGACGGCACCTATTAAGGAGGTGGACAACGGAATCTACTGCACACTATTGCACAATAATTTATTGGCCATAAGTTTAATATTAAAATAATATAGGGTTAGATGCATTTATAGCATCATTTGTAAAATAGCCCTTATTTGCTTCTAATTTCGAAAGCTGAGGTTGCTATTCTGCTCTCTACCACCTCTCTTCCGTATTATAATGAAAAACTACTGGGCCATCTTCAAGGAAAAAAAAAAAACCAATTCAATCTATCTTTTTCAAAAGTGTGAGCTGGATTGAACCACCATTTATTATTGCCTGTATAATGGACTCTTTACAATATTTTGTAATCCATTAAACTAAATAGTTCAGCTTATTAACTGGACATGGGCTATTAAAAGCTGAGTCTCACACGTTATAGAGTTGAATATGCATAAATACTGAAGTTTAATTTATTTTATAAAAATATTTTAAAAATTAAATAAAACATATTTTAACTGAATGAGTTAAATATCTAATTTTAAAAAAAGTTAATGGATGAGTTGGATGAACATGTACTAAATAAATTATAAATATATTAAATTCTGTTAACATATTTTTAATAAATTAACAATTTATCTTTTACCCATCGAACATATTAATTTAACAGTACCCCTATTTGACAATAACTTTTAGTGGCCATATTGGGCTGATGGAGGTTGAAATGACTGCCCAGAACGTAAGTATGTTCATGGGCACTAGCACCGGGCATGAAGAGATGTTGAGCAATTTTGTTTTTCTCCTCATCAAGGAATGAAAAAGGTAAAATAAATGGTTTTCTTTGCTGCTCTTACACGCACAAAATCATTTGATGAGAATTACCTCATGTGTTAAGTATAGGACAGAATTTGAATACAAATTATACGCTTTAGTATCTTATTTAAGAAAAAGCAAACACAATCCTAAAAGATTTTCATTATTCAGGTCACAATTCTCAATTAATTAAATTAACTTTTTAATTACTTATATGCTCTGGATCCATTGCGTACACGGAACATAAATACTACAAAAGAGTCCTTCTCAACCTAAAAAGAAAAAGAAAATCCTTGCGTATACGTACACACTTTAAGATATAAGGATCATTAAAAAAAGTTCATTATATATACAAAACAGCAGAAATGTCACTAACTAACAAGGATTAGACATAAATAAAAGTACGTAACAATTAAAGACTTGATGCAATATGGAAGCGACTAATAAAAGTGATGTCTGCTGGGACAGCTAATTTAGTAATAATTATCGTACTAACATGTCAGTTTCTAAGGAAAAAGGGTTTTCCATCTATCTATGTAACTAATCAGGTTAATGAAGCTCACTCACAAAGTTCTTTAAGCATATTAGGGATAATAAGTTGCACCAGGCCAGTAGGGTAGTACTGGAACAGTGTTATTATAATCTTCCAAAATGAAAGAACAATTTCCCTCGCCAATGTTCTGATGATGATGAAGGGTTCCCCTTTTGGAACAACGAAGAGCTTCTGACGTGCTTTCTACTGTTTCCTCTCCAGAGATTTCTGTATAACCTGTTGATACTTGGGTTCTAGAAGCTTGGTCTCTCAGCATGGCCTTTAACTTCATAACCTGCACAGATTAAAAAACAGCTTAAGGAAATAACCAGTTCGGAGGAATGTCTAGTTCTTAAACTTCAGCAAACCATCAGCATGTTAAGACAAGTAAAAAGAAAATAGTAGTTTTGGTATTCACTGAATTAACAAAACAAGGGAAAAACTAACACACCGTGTTCAAGATAATTTAAAATGGTTTGTTTATTTAGGGAGTATTTGTAAGAACTTATAAAAATAATTTATGTGTGTTTGAAAGTGTTGATAAAACATTTATACATGAAATAACTTATAATTTATGTAAGTTATTTTTAGCTTATTTTATTAATTTTTTAAAAATAATTTATCAGAATAAACTCTTTTTAATTTAATTTTAAAAATTATAAATAAATTTATAGCATAAATCTTCAGGTAAAAAGTTAATTGAATAAATGTTTAATTAAATTGTGTTATCAGATGCATACTTATAATTTTTTAAATTTAATTTAAGAATTTTTTATATATTTAGTAAAATAATTAAACTCTTTAAACTTATTTTAATAAAATTTATAATTAAATTTATTGAATAAATATTTAATAAATTGTTTAACTTAATGGACGTTTAAATACTTATTAAATAAGAGTTTATCATCACCAATTTTATGTTTTAAATACTTAATTTGATAAGTTTTTATAGGTTAAGTTTTTAAAAATATATCACAAATTTTTCGTATAGTTTTTTTAGCTTATTTGATGATTTATTTATGAAAAAAAAATTGATTTAAGTTTTTAAAAAAGGTTACAAATAACTTGCATAAATTTGACTTAATTTTTTTAATTTTAAAATGTTCAAGAAATCAATCTTCGTGAAAGCTCTGAGACACCCTGAAACCATATAAACATATATGAAATGAAGTCGCATGGGTCATGGATTTTAAAGGCAAAAACTTACATAGTTCAAACAACGGTAAAATGTGTCTATAAAGCAACTTGCAAGAGCTGCATGGAGAGAGATATGCAATCACACACACACATTATGTTAACTTACCTCTTCCTCAAGCTTCTGTTTTTCCTTGAATATGACATCAAATTCTTGTTTAAGTGTATCATACAAACTTTCAAGTTGCTTGGTCTTCCACCTTGCACGCCTATTTTGGAACCAAATAGCAATCTGACGAGGCTGAAGCCCTAACTCCTTTGAAAGCTTCATCTTTCTATCAGGGTCCAACTTTATCTCCTTCTGAAAACTACTCTCCAGCGAGTCAAGTTGGTCACTTGTTAATCTCTTCTTCTTCTCTTGGTTCCCACAGTTCATTTTTTCCATTGATGGGGGTGTCTCTGCCAGTGCTTGTTGCTTCACTTCCATTCCTAAACACACAGAGAGTTTACGAAGTGTTTTAATAATTTTCTTAAATGGACTAAGCATGATTTTTTATGTTGATCAAGCTAGAATGCCACATGTTGGGTTGAAACATGCTGTAACAATGATTTATGTACCTACTCTGTACCACTTGTTCAAGAAAGGCAATAATTGTGGTGGGGCAATAGCTTGTGCTTCAAGTTACTATTCATGCGAAAACTTACAAAAATGGACTCTGAAAATAGTCCACACTCATAAAGGAGTTACTAAATTACCATGGTACAGGTTAAGTGCTTCAAGCGGGTAAGAGGAGTGAAAAGAAAGCAACTTGATGAAATTGGAGGAAAAGTGTCAATGCTTAAGAAGAATAGATAGTGTTTTGGTCTTTAGAGTTTACCTGGATATGGGGTGTAGCTATAGTTGTAGAGGAAGCTTAAAGAAGACTCAGGTCGAGGAACATAGCGTCTTGTGCTCCCATTCCACTCCATATTGGTGTTTCTCTTCCTTCCCTTCAACTACTCCAATATTTATCAGTGTTTATATGGGGCTCACTCGGTTGTGAAAATTGATGGACCACAAAGGCAGTGATAAGAAGATAGAGAAAGGTCGTAGGTATGTCTAGCGAGCATATATAGCGTTTAATTAATGGAGTCAATTCAATTCCTCTAAAAGTTGGATGTAATTTAAAAAAAATGTGAAATTATAAATAAATACTGCTTGAAGCTGAAGTTGTAGTAAAATGCATGCAGATATCAAAACTTAAATGTTATATTTCTAATCAATAGTTATTATAGCTATCCTACTACTACCCCTTATAGAAGATTAATGAAATTGGTATATTGAATGTGGTAGTGGGGCGCGACACTACTAGAGTTGTGAGAGGGGAAAGTTTCTATTCCTGTCCTTTTAGGTGCAAGGGAAGTGAGGGACGAATGAGAGAGAAAGGGTTGTGAATTGTGTGAGGTTCTTGCTATGCTACTTCACTTTTGGGGCGCAACAAAGTTGTGTGTTTAATGCAGAGACCGTACATAAGGGAAGTAAGAGAGAAGAGTGTAAGGAGTAAGAACTAAGGACAAGGCGTGAAAAAGGGAAGGCATATGTCAGTTGGCCCCCCCAGGCAGGCTTCAACGGGGACCATATTTGATCATAGACCTATGAATCCACTCTTATAGTTTTTCCTTTTCCATTGTGCTACAATCACCCAAAACTCATGGTTTTTTTTCTCTTTCTCTTGGGTAGCTAAAGGATATCCTCAATTATAATTCACAAATGAGAATGCGGGCACATTTGGAAAATAGGTAAAATGGGAATTTAATAATAATAGGAACATAGGAAAACTGGTTTGGCTTCAAAAGAGGGTGACCAGTACACATAACCTGCCACCACTGCTGCCTTCACAAGAGACAAATAAAGGAAGGTAAATAAAACAGAGCACTTGGCCTCATCTCTGTTTCTTTCAACCCTCCTCCTCTCCCTTTCACCTTAATTATAACGTGCCAGTGTCACAGAGAAGAAAGCTGATACAATCTCACTTTCACCTCTCCTGTCTTTAGATCTATCTGTTGCTTGCATGAAATCGGGATCTGGGTTGGCTTTGCTTTGGTTTCAATTCAATTTTTTTTTTTAAAAAAAATTGAGATTTATGTAATGTATATGCAAAATGCAATTGATTGTGTGTGTAAGGCTAAGTTGACAGATTGGACTGTGTGTTTGGTTGTACCTTTGCTAGAAATAAAAGCTGAGGTTGGAGCCCTTTGAGCCCCAAAGGATGACAGAGATGGGTGAGACAAAGGTCATCATAGAATCCAAGTTCTACTTGTGCATCTTTTAAAGTTGTTTCTTGTGTCCCATGATAACAACGTCACATACTTAATAGCGTGATGTTGGAAAGAGTCATGTGTATTTGGAAATAATACATCTTCACACCTTATGATAATCAGTCATCACTTGTGACTTGTGAGAACCAATTAAGAAGTGATTAAGTAAATTGAATAACAATATAAAAAAGATATATTTAAGTCATATACCAACACCAAATTTAACATGAAAATTAAAGTCTCTTAATGTAGTGAAATTATTGTATGATTTAAGATCACCATGTGTTTATGATCAAGTCTATTTTATGCAATACATGATCTTTTTAAATAATCTTTTTTCATGAACTGCAATACATGATTAGTCAAGATTATGGACACTATGATTCTTTATTACACAATAATTTTTCTTTAATGTAAGAAAGTAGAAAATATCAAAATATGGAAGCTTGAAATGCGAAGCACACCGTCCAACTTGAAGAACAATGAGTACTGATGATCTAGTTAAAATTTTCAGCTCAAACAAAAATGGTTTAACCGTTCAAGGATCTGCATGTTTGATAAACACTGTTTAATTAGACTAAGAATTTCTTATAATTTTGAAAAATCCCCTTCTTTTCTTTTCAACCCAGCCACTCTCTCTTTTAATTACCACAGAAGTATATCAAATCTGTAGACTTATACTGCTCAATTTTTATTAGATAAGTCTAAATGCACGTGATATGTTTAATGACTAACATTTTCTTTCTGTTAGTATATATGATTTTCTTTTTGTTGTGGGTGTAGGCAAATTTTCTGTAGTTATAGTTACTCTTGCTTATGGAACAGAAATGCTTAGTAAAAGTAAAATTTTGACCTATAATTCTATACAGTAAAAAGTTCCAATAAGCATCAAGGTATGTCTCAATAAATAATCTCAAAATCTCTGAGTATGGACCTCCATATAACGAGAACTCAACCAAGCACGAAAGCGCGTCAATTAATTATAGTTTAACCATTCGATCAAAATAGTATCAAAATGGCAAAAATTCATATTGGAAGAGTGAGTACTGATTAGAGAACAGTTAAGGATTCTGCATTCATCAAGACTTGAGTACAAGTTAGGAAGGAATTTAGTAACACACTTTCTAACATAATTTTTTTAATATATTTTTAACTATTACTTAAGAGTGTTAAAAAAGTGTATTAAAGGGTATATTTCTAAATTCGTTCTAAGCAAATCTGCAATAGCTTTATACCAATTTTGTAGTTACCGTTGGTTTACATATATGGCCATGGAAAGAGAAATGAGTCGTAATTAAGGTGTAGAAATTTGATCCATAAAGTAACAGTTGGAGTGAGTGTACTAAAAATCAAATGGTGTCACGTATATAGGCCGCAAGTAGTGTCAGAATAGCTTAACTTTGATGAAAACAAACAAATGCTTTGGTCCTTTTACCCTCACATATGTTCAAACGTTTCGTAAAGGTCAATAGTCTTAAATAAAAGAAATCTGAGTGTTCGTTAGGGTGTCTGCTGTGAAAATAACGAGCTTCTTCAATTATAGTGAAAGCACTCCTTTTAAGTATGTTGACCGTTGAGCATATCTTTAAGTATTAGTAACTCATGAAAAAAGTTAGGTAGCTTTTTATATATGCTGTTGCTGGTTCTTTAATGAATATTATCCCATTTAGGCATTTATAAATATTTATATTTTGACACTACAAAAAAATAAATTGTTATAAACAAATTAATCAAGCTTATAATATGATTTTTTTTATATATAGATATTCATAAAATGGGAAAGGATGTTATCACATCAATATAAATTTAAAATTTTTTATACTTAATCTAAACTTTTTATTTAATTTATAATGAAATAGTAAATTATAATTCATTAAATATAAGTTAAATAAAAAATTTAAACCAGCGATGAATAAAGAAGGTAAGCCTTTCTTCTAGGTTCCTTATGGTAAAAGAAAATGATTTTGCAAATCTAGTGGTGCACCCCTCCATTTAATAACGTAGAAATAGAATAGCCAGGTCAAGAACACAAAAATATCTCAATTTCGTTCTTAGGAACGACGATTAGACATGATTTGTGTATTTTTTTTAACTTTTATTATTCACTCAATGAAACATGATCATGTGAATTCATGATATATCGTTACGAAACATCTTCGCACTAAATAGTATACCAATCCTGATAATAAAATAAAACATAAAAAACAAAAACAAAAAATGCACAATAATAGGAAAAACGTGACGAAAACTATTTCACGAAAAACTTAGCATTATTTTTGTCGTTTTCATATTTTTTTTTGGGTTTAATTTTATTATTCTCCCAATGGCATGACCACGTCAATTCGTGATGTATTGCTACAAAAATTGTTCGTCCTGTGTAACATTAAACAGTCCTTTATAATGAGATCCACAGGTCTATTTTATTTTAAGAAGTCTAATGCCTATGAACATGCTTATAGGTTTAATTTTTTATACATGAGTTCGAAAAATATATATTTTGTTTTTTATAAATTAAAAAATATGAAATTTAAAAATTATCAATGATAATTTTTAGCGTAGATATTTTACTAAATTTTAAAATTTATTTTAAAAAATTCTAAAATTTAAAACTCGTCAATAACAATTTTTAAAAAGTAAAAATTTAAAAAAACAAAAAATTGTTATTAATGATTTCAAAATAAAAAATTGTCAGCAGCGATTTCAGAAATTATTATATAATATATGGCTTAGAAATTGAATTTAAACGGTCAGATTAATTGCTCCCACTCGCTACAATTGCTTACGTATTGGGTTTGCATGAATACGGGGTATATATCAATATCGAATAACTACATACAATTTTTTAAAAAGAAACTGTATCATACATAAAAATATAAATATAACCAAAAATTAAAGTTGATCGAGGTGATACTACACAATCAGATAAACTATCTCCAAGAACTATTCTAGTGTTATTTTAGGCTACCCTGACGCTTTATTTGGACGATGAAATGAAGAAGATAATAAAAAAAAGAAAAAGAAAAAAGAATAGGAGGGTAAGAAATAAAATAAAATAAAAAATAATATTTGGATGAAAAGAAATAAAACAAGGAAAAAATATTTTTTTTACTTGTTTAGATAAATAACAGAGAGTAAAAAATAATAAGTAAACTATATAAAAATTATTTTTATAATAATAATAGTAATAATAAAATTAATTCAATAAAAAAATTAAAACTCTAAATATAGTATTTTTACATACTTTAAAAAAAAATTTAAAAATAAAGTAAAAAACAAAAAGGCAGTGTTCCCTTCCCTCCCATTTTCTTTGAAGGAGTGGTTTATTTTATGTGGATCCTGCCTCTTCCAATTTTCTTCCTTCCACTAAACAATAAAGTTATCAAATAAAACAAATTATATTCGCACCTCTAAAATTGTTTTTCTCAAATTTTTTATCTCATAATTTTCTCATACAAAAGTCTAAAGGATATAAAAGGTACAAATTCTATGACATTTGCCAAGAAGACCTTTTCCATCTCAGAGTATAGATATTAATTGAATTGGTTAAAAAACACTATATTTAGTTATATAATTTGTTATAATTAATTGAAGTTAGTGATATATGTTGATTCTTCCTTTATATATAAGACAATTTATTGTATCATTTTTTTTCATTTCATTAATAATATAATTTTTTGAATTTTCTAAATCTCTCTCTCTCATGTTTCTCTAACAATTTTTAAATGATTTTTTTTTATATATTATAAATATAATATGATTCTTATAAATATATGATTTTCAGTTATAAGACTGTGATCGTGGTGGATAGTGGATAAATGACAGGGGGGGGGGGGGGGACCTGTCTAGTTGGGTTCTTCTTTAATATTCCACACAAAATCAAATGATTCTCGAGTTATAAATCTCATGCATGGTTTTTTCTACAGAAAACGGGCCTATTTGCTTTATGATTAAGGAAAAAAAATCATGAAACGCCATTTTTATAACATCTTCAGAATTTATAATTTTTAACTTTTGAGTAATACTAGAACAATTCTTTAAAAAAATGGACCCTAATGTAGAGGAGTTGGTTTAAATTTTCCCATTGGTCCTGAAACTTTTTCTTTTTGGGTTTCTCAACTTCTTTCAAGGGTAAGGTGATTTCCTCCATATATTTTACTTACACACGTTCCCGTTGACCAAAGAAAAGAAACATGCATACGTACCCCCCTCGTTCTTTTAACTAGTCAACATCTGCTAGGGGCCTTTTGTGTTGGCCAAGGAGATAGCAAAGGTTGAGATGGTAAACCTTTCATCTTAGCATGCATGCCTTTATATAATATAGAGCTACCTTTTTGGCTTTTTGCTAAGGTTCTTCATCTAAAGTGCTTTCCTATTCAACGTGTGATTTGCTCTATGCTGTTCTCAATCCTTTTCTTGTTTCATATGCATGCTTATTAAGGCACATATTGGTGTTTTGGAAGGCCATGCTACACTAGCTTGTAGAGAAATGTGTCGAGAACTTTCCTCTTGAGCTCCTCGAAGTCTCAGATTAAATTTGGTTATTGGTTAGTGTAGTGAATCCTTGTAAATGTTGCCTTCTTTTCAGTTAGTGTAATGGAAAGCTCTAAAAACGATTAGGTTGGGGACTCACGACATATGGTTAGCAATATTGTTGAAAGAGTAGTATTGAAACTTTTACCCAAAAAATTACAATTTAAGAGAGATAGGTAAATAGGTAGAGAAGAGAAAGAAGTGATGAATAAAATGGGTGATGTATTGAAGAGAGATAAAAACAAATGAGTTGTAAAAGTTTATATTATCTGTATCATTATTCTTGATGAAATGCCTCAAGATGTTGTTCGTGATTCAACCGTATGACTCAATGTTGGACAGTAAATTGAAGTTGCTTAGGAAATAGCCATTATTGGTTATGGGAAGAAAGGGATAGATCCAATAAAACTCAGGGAGGTTAAATTGTAATTATCATAGGTAATTAGAAAACTAATAATTAACTTGTAATATATATATATATATATATATATATATATATATATATATATATATATTACAATTATAAAAGACGTGGCTGAATCAATATTATGGGCCTAGAGGCTTTGAATCCTTATTCTCAATCGTGTGATGGGGATAGGAGTGATTATGTCTTGTCTGGTTTTGGGTTGAAGTTAATTTTAATATATTTAGGTTATTTTTTTAATTATGGAAAAAAAATGTTACATTTTGAATTACTTTAATCCAATTCGATGTCTTATATTCTTTGATTTTGTTTTGCTATTTAAATGAGGCTCAAAGACTCAAAAGAACACAAAGACCTAGATTATAGATTTAAATTATATTCTTTCAAGATATATACTTTTTATAATAATGTATCAATAATAAAACATGTAATTCAATAGATAATATTTTGCATGACATTTATATATTTATATTATTTTAAAAAATATATATGCTATAAAATATACCTTAATTTTAATTATATAGTTTTTAATATATAATTTAGCTAATCATATTTTTTTAAAAATCAGCTTTACATAGTAATATTAAAACTGATGTATTATGTCAACAAATCAAGTCAATCCAATCCTGTCGAAATTTTGAATTGAATAAAGACTAAACTAAGTCATCCCATGTTGTTCTATCAGCATTCAGCAGCCCTGTATTGGGCGGGCGCCGGAGGACATTGCAGACTTGTACCGTTGTGTAAGAATAATGTAGGAAGAGTTCGTCAAAGCGATTTCACTCGTTTGGGAGCCTTTGACTATATAGCTTAGGGAGTAAAATTCATTCTGCATAGGCCCTAGTTCCGTAACATTTGCTCTTGTATTGTTCTAGGACTGCTACAGTGAGTATCAGTTTAGCCTTAGAACTTCCTCCACAATATACCTGGCTAGGTTGCGATTGTGAGTAGCCTTTGGTGAAGCATTCTTAGGCTTTATCGATTATTTTGGGGTTACTAATAGCGCCAAGGGTTTGATCAGGGAAGTTTGAATAAACAAACAACTCCTAATTGATTGAGAAAATAATGCCAATGATGTGTCCACAAGGCAAGAGGAATTTTACTCACATTTATTACACTTTTTTCTACAACTAAAAAAGAAATAAGAAAGTCTGAGAAACAGGATAATGCAAGAGATGGAGAATAAAATGAATTGTAAATCTTAGTAGATCATATTTATAGCCACACCCACAGGCCTTATATCTCTCCAGTGGATCAAGCAATGCCTTAAAAAAGAAATAACATTGGACCGAAAAAGAATTTTGAAATAACATTCACCTTTATTGTCCTAGTATCGTATTCCCCAAAAGTGTACATGTAAACCATCTGAAAGATTAAAACAGGAAATATACTCTTACATCACAACCAAGTTCCATGAGGAATAAAAGACAGCTGAGGCAAGCGACGGCGAAGCCTTTTTCCAAATTTTTTTTCAATTCTCACCAAACAATAAAGTTATCAACCTTGTGAGGAAATGACTAAAATACAAAGAAATTATTATTATTATTATTGTTATTATTATTACATAGATATATGGGATACTCACCTACAGCCAAAAAAAATACACACAAAAAAAACCCTCCAAAATATGACATTCTCCAAATTTTCAACTTTGTTCAGTAAGTACAAGCTGTATGATAGATCCCAATAAAGTATTATGGGATATCTAAATCACTTAAAAAACAAGCTTACATGGAAAAAAAAAAAGCTTCCTATTCTTTTATGGCTATTTCAAAATGCCTCTTCTCTTGCGCGCTCTCAAATCATTAGGTAAAATAAATACAGAATCTACACAAAGTCCACCTTTAGAATGTGTACAATCAATCTGTTTCATGGAAAACCTAACTTGTGTTGTTGGCTCAGATCCACTGACAATAAACTCACCCACTTTGTAATCCACCCAGTATCCACGCTTACGGTAGCCATATGTATCATCAAGCTCAGTTTCATCCAAACAGCATTCACAAGACGCATGCTGACTATCTGAAGTGGTCAACTCAAATTTCACAGGTTTTATATCCCAACCATGGGTGTGTTCATAATTGCATACACGTCGTCCAAGCCTTTTGGAAAACCGTCCAACGTGAAGCCTAAAGAAGATAGTATAAATATCAGCAGGAAATGGAAATGTTACCTCCCCATCCACTTCAAACCACCAGATTTGCTGCAAATATGCCACGGTGTGAAACCTGAAAATCGCCTAAGATGTAACAGAATGTTGACAGATTAAAACAAAAGGAAAACAAAGCAGCTTCAACAATGAGATAAGCAAGAGTGTTACAATTTGCGAAAAGAAATGCCAAAAAAAGTAAGTTGACATAATTAGAATATGGTGTGAGAATTATAATTACAAGTGTCAACCTAGCCTGTGCAACCAACCCTCAGAACATTAATAGAATTGGTCATTTGGCACAATCAAGTTGGGTATTTCAAGGATCAGTTATGTTCAAGGTTGCAAATTGAGGTCAATGAATCTAAATGGAACCAAATTGCAATTAATACTTAACAATAACATCATTCCAAGTCACAAATTATTAAAATAATAAATATTTGGTCACATCCAGATTAAGGCATGCATACGTAAGTGAAGTGTATCATTCAAATTGTTTTCATATGTAATGGATCATCAGTTATGAGATCATTGTGAAATGATTTCTTTTAAGCACCGATATAGCTTTTATATATTTAACGATAGTTTGCTTGTTGGTGAAAAAGAAAGTCGGTAGTTAAAATCATGATATTTCATGTAAGATTGTACAATTTTACGATTTTCTCATGCCTCAGCGATCTCAATCACACTCTGACTTGTTTTGCTAGGATCGAACAATTTTTCCAATCCTGCTCGAACTAATTTCTTTTGGAAAAGAACCAACAAATCCAGCCCATTTTTTATTGACACATAAGATTAAAGAGTTTAACTTGTTCATTTTGGCACTTTTCTTCACCTTTTTTTTGCTCTCATGCACACAAAAGTTCTAAACCCCTTCTTGGTTTTTCTACTTCTGAGTTTGGCCCTATTCACTTCAGTTCTTTTGCTTCTGGGTTGAACTCTTGGTTCATTTTCTTGTAGGTTCAACTACTCCTTGCTTTGGTTCAGTTGCTACACTATTTGGGACCCTGGATTCAACTTTCTGATCTCTGCTAGGTTACACTCTTTTAATCTGTTTAGTTATTTACAAAAGTCTTTTATGGGGGAAAGGAGCTGCCAGGGAGGGTAATGGGAGTTCAGGTACTGCTAGAGTTGGGATAATGCTGCTGGTGGGGGTTCTGAATTTGGAATTGCTGACTTACAAGTTTCTGGCTGTTAGTAATTTAAGGTTATTTTGTCTTATTTTTATTAATTTTTATGCATATATATGAATTCAAAAACATTTTGTATTTTAAGTAGGATCGTATGATATGTATTACAATTACATGATTTACATGTTTCCCTAACCTTTCCGATCCTAGGTAGGATCTTGATTTTGACTGCCTTAAGGAAAGTTAGAATTTAGCTGAGGAAGTATTTGTTTGCACAAGAGAACATAGTAGTAGAGCTACCAACCCGTGCGTATAATTCAAATGTTTACTTTAGACTTGAGCGAAATCAAAGAACCCAAATCAAGCAACTAACATGAGATCACTATGTGATATTGCGATTTGGTTTGGCTCCAGCTGGAAACCAGCCTACTACCTTTAATTAGTTTTATGAATTGCTCAAAGTCATTATGGTACATTTTTAAGTTCAAAATTAAACCATGCACTACCCAGCAATTTAGCACCCCCATTACAAAGGTTTCGTAACTTTTAAAGGGGGCACTAAAGATTGAACAGCAAAGACCAGGAAGTAAACAAAGTCACAATCCATACACAATAACAAATAATCGTATACTTGAACCCAATGCACTTGACATCATAGAAAAATTCTATTGCTTCAAGTAAAATATAATCAGTCATCAACAAGATAAATTACTCAAGATAAAATAAAAAAGGAAAGGTATACTATTCCTACTTTCTCAAAAATACAATCATAAAGCAATTAAAACACACAAAACAAGTCAATCTGACATGAGACAGTAATGAAAGTATGAAACTAACAAGCAAATCCACACACAAATTAAAAACCTGACGTTAGATCAACAGTATTAGGACCTTAAACTGAGATTATGAAATATTTAACAAATTGGTAGTTGACTGTCAAATATCAATCCATTAATTGCTTAACCAGGTAAAAAAAAAAACTTTTTTTTATGATTTCATAAAAAACTCATCTAGGAAAGCTCTAACAAAACGAGTACCTTAACAATGATCAGGATGGTGCTTGATTAAAATGGCTAGGGGGTCAAAATTTAAATATGCAATGAAAAATAAGAATTATACCAAATTTGAGGGGAATCTACAAATTGCGACCTGTGTATAATGACATTGCTCCAACTTAAATGCAGAATTACAAATAACTTAAGTTCTTGTCAGAATCATACGAACCTGGACTACATGCAGTTAATCTCAAGTCCTGAGACTAAATAAAAGCAACAAGGTCATTTTCAGCATCTTTGACTGTTTTTACTGGAAATTTTTATGCTTGGCATATTAGCCTCCATGATGACGATCTAGGATTCTCATCAATGCTTAGAAAAGACCAAATAGTTTGCAGTTCATGGGGAAAGAATGCCAAGAAAGGTCAAACATCTTATGATTCATCCTTACAATATTCAACAGTACTATTTAGGGAAGATGGGACTCAGCGGCACCTATCCTGCTTTTAGTCAACAGGTTGTTGACTGGATGGTTTAGGTGGTTGTGTCAACAGTCAAGGCGTCAACTACTAACAATTTTATTATTGCCAGGAAAAAACAAATATTTGGGCTTGTAAAGTCAATTAATTTAACATCATGGAGTGGTGTACAATATGATTTCCGTGACATGGGCCGCTAAATACTTCCATTCCAACTGATGCAGCAAGAAATCACAAAATTTCTATTTTCTACTAAGTTACAATTCCCTCTTCCTCTCTTTATAAAGCACACACTGGATCTACAGCCTCACTGAAAAGGATAAGCCTGCTAAACACCCTCTTCCAACAAATTTTAAGTACATTGGGAAAACCAATACAAAATACTTAATGTTCACTTATCCATTATGCTGAGAGCAGTTTATCATGCATATTTGCTAATAGCAATGAGTAAACATCTATACACAGATAAAAGCTTAGGTTCCAGACCAGTTTTCTGAACTCATAATTCAAGTCCAGCACGCCCACCAAAGGCCCATTTGCACCATACACCTCTTAAAGTCACGTGTACAAAGCAGAATAAAAGAAAAATAACATTAGCACAAGAGCAAAGAATATCTAAAATTGAAAGCAAGATAACGCATAAGAGGATGGATGCATTACTCAATACTCAGAAGTCAGAACCTTTTATTTTCTATAGCTCATCTACTAGCCAAAACACATTCCCTGATAGCATGACACCAGATATACTCTATACTTTTTCCCTTTTTCTCATCATCCAATCCAATAATCATGCACAAACTAAATATTCCCCCTCTGCCACATATCGCGATTAAAGCCTAATATTATTATAAGAAATAACACCATCTCATTATCACGGCCATTGCCCTAAAGATGTCAAACAAGCACCAAAACAGATCATACTCTTCCAATCCACAACAAGTTTAACACCAAGTCCAGAAAACTTGCAATCAATTGTATTTTACTATATTACAAAGTGCTTGAAGAATTTAGGGGAGTAAGTGTGCCTACGTGCGTGTGTAAAACTTTAAAAAATAATAATAATTTCTTCAAATTTTCCAGGTTAGATGCCCTTACATCACTGTAGGGTATGTACGGATGCAGGACAAGTAAGGTTTGAAATTTTAACAAACCTTCCACTTGTTTGGGCGTTTCGTTTTTTCATTTTAAAAAGGGGTGAAAATGAGGAATAATCAATCTCTAAAAAGTTTCCACAGTTGGTATAATTTAATTTAAACCTCAAAGCAAAGGGAAGAAAATATATTACCTTAATATCTTCCTTTCTTTCCTGATGCAGTTTTTTTGGTTTTTCTATCCATTTTCAGCCTCTAACGTATAAGCAAAACTACTAAAGCTAAGTTAAGATCTCTGAATCTAACCTAGATTCTTCAGTAGGAATCCAATTCCAGTATCTCCGATCATCAATCCCAGTAATCGCCATCGCCTTCGCCGAAATTGACATGCAAACTCTTCCCGTGACCCTGTCCAGCCACACTTCCTGTAAAACCCTCCAACATCAATTTCATCCAGCACACACACATCCGCTAAATTACAGAAAACCCTAATCTCACAGAATAATACAAAACTGACCTGAAGAGCACCACCCACCTTATGGCCGTCGTGGAAGGGTAACGGCCTCGATAAGAGCGCGAAAATGTCCTTCTTCGAGAGATTCTGGTGGCGCTCCGGCGGCACCAGATCCAGCAGATCTTGGTAGTTACGCGGCAACTTTGCTTCCCAAACGGAATCCGACGAAGCAGCGCCTCGAAACGCGCGGTTGAGGCGCGCGAGGTTGCAAATCTCCGGCGGCGTCAGGTAGAGGAAAACGCAGGCCACACAAGCCTCAGGTATGTCCCCGAGGCTAGGACCGAGGCTCGAACCGTTGGTGCTTAGGTTCGACAGCGACGCCCCCATGCTCTTTCTTCTTCACCACCTCATGGCACGCACCAACGTCCAAACCAGAAGAAAATGAGAAGAATAAGAGCGTGTGGCAGTGAAATTGCCTCAGTGGTGGTGTTGTTGCATGAAATGTGAATGTAAGAGGCTCAGAGGTGTTGTTGATTTAGATTTTGGTTTTGGAATTTTCCTTTGAGGGAAAATCGATTTCGAATGTTGTTGCAGGGGATTCGGTGCGGAGAGGTCCATTCTTTTAGATTATAGATTCGTTGTGCCTTTATCCATCACCACGTGGCAGAATAAGGTGAAAAGCTAATGGCTGCTTCAGCACGTGTTTGATTTCTATGGATGTTTTCAACTTCACTGTATCATTACCATTGCAAGTGGCGTCCACGACGGAATAATAATATCTGTCCAAGTCAAATATCAAATAGTTTTTTTATTTTAAAAAAATTGCTAATTTTTATATATTTATATTTTGAACCTATTACTTTACTTGGATACGAAGTAATGGACGTGATCCTTATTGTAACACACGTCAAACCTATTTTAAATCTTTTTTATAAACTCTGTTTTAATAAAACCAGATATAGAAATTTCATGGGACATGTTTCATGTGTTCAACTTAGAAGGTATGAGACGATACGTAGAAACCATCTTTTGATTATTAATAACGTTGAAGGGAGAAAACTGTATATTGATGGTGCATTAAGTGGTCTGACCTTTTTTTTTTAAGAAGAGTGTCAAGAACATGCTCTTTAATATATCATTTTCAATACAATTTTAATTATTAGTTAAATATGGTTGAAAATTATAAAAAACAATGTTATACATATAAAATATTATAGACTTAGTTTGAGTACATTTTTATATAAGTCCTTATAAAAAATAAAATTAATATAAAAATACATGTTTTTTTTATAAGATAAAAATAATTAATTTTTCGATTTTTAAATATGTTAAATAAGAGAACTTCTAAAAAGTAATTGAGAAACATAGTTTGATCAAAATCGTAAAATCTAAAATATATCTTTCTTTTTTTTTTAGATGGGTTGAATCAAATTAAAATATAGATGGATGAAAATTAGAGTTAAATTAATAAGCATAGTTGGCTTTAGTTTTAAAATTATATATTAAAAAATGTCTATATTTGATTAAAAAATTTAAAATATTAGTTATTAAGTTTTTTATGTAATTGTGTCTTACTCATCATCTAAGTGCACCTCTTCATTGTGCTCTTCTTTTAATTATGAAGAGAAACTTCGTTCGTACTCCCATTAAATTTATGAAAAAAAAATTAAAGAGTAAAAGGAGAGGAAACAAAAGGAGAACATTGATTTCCACTTTGCACAGTGCTTTTTTTTTAAAGCTATTATAATTACTTAGTTCACCGATTTTTTTTTCTTCTTTTTCTTTTTTACCATCTTGGGCTTGGGTACAAGAGAATAAAAGATTCACCAATTGACTTTGTAAACGCATTATTGTTCTTACCATTTGAGAAAAGAAAAAGAAGAATGGGATTGAAAAAAAATGAAGAAAACATAATCAGATATTTGCGTTGCTCTTCCTTATGCCTCTCCTTACTGCTCTTTTTTTTAGTGTCATCCTTTTTGTCACTTCATCTAATTTATTGATTGGTGGCAGTGAATAGTGATTTTGGTGACAATAGAAAAAAGAGAATAACTTAATATATTTACTTGAAAATATTCATATCTAACACCAATTTGTCACTTGAAAGAGTATAAGTAGATCAAAGTATTCACTTTATAACTATGTTTGGGTTGAGTGATTTCAAATCTCACCAATATTTAGTCTTAAATTATATCAAATTCAATTTGTTTTTAATAGAACTAAACTTTATATAAAATTTTATTATTTATAATGTTGTATATATTACAAAAAAAACTTTCTTAAAAATATCAATAAATGATTCATTGGTTATATCAATAATAGACTAATGTTATATATTAATTTTGGTTTTAGATTTTTATTTTAAAAGAAAATAATATTAGGTTCTCCAAAAATATCAGCTTAACTATCAATATGTTAAGCATTAGAAGTTTTTTATATGTAGGATTATTATCTTTTCTAATGCTTGTTACATGGTCATTTGTATATGATAATGTAATGATTCAAAAGGAGAAGGGAAAAGTGTAAAGAATTTGTCATGTATATCTAACACAAATTAATTATTGAAGAATTTTGTTAAAATACTAATAATAAATAATTAATAATAAAATTTTATTAAAAATATTTATTATATTTTATAATTTGAATATAATAAATATATTTTTTATGAAAATTTCTATTCATAGATACTCAAACACAGTTTTAAGACTGAGGTTAAAAAAATTTAATATTAAATATTTTCAATAATGTTTTGTATTTTTTAAAAATATTATTAGTATAATTAGTATGATTATATGAAATTATATATTTGTTCACCTGTCTTTGTTTAAATTAATGTTATACAGGTTTCATTTATTTTTGTTTAAGAAGAGACTTTCTCTTTATTAACTTACTAATGATCCTAGTTTCACATATTATTAAATTAAAATTGATATTTAGTAATAATAAAATAATATTTGTTTATTTTATATTTTTTTCATGGAACTGAGGGGATAATAATTAACAAGATTTGCATATCACTAATAAATTTATAAATATGAGACAATATAAAGGATAATAAGCACTAAACTCAAACGAAGATGCACCCCTTGAGTGAACTTTTGGATTTTGTTTGAGAGAAATTATATTTCTATAACTACTTTGTATAATTTTATTTATTTATTTTTGTATAAAGAGATAGAAAGAGAAAAGTAAAATTTGTATAACTAAATAATTGATGTGATAAAATAAAAGAAATTACATGAATTTTAAAACTTTCATAATAATTATATAAGAATAAAATTGAAATAGAGAGATTGTGAATGCGCTGCTAGGGTTTACTTGTCTTCGAGATAGGTTCTTTGGCTCTCACGAGACATAGTGAAGATCGAGCTGTGCCAAGAAATAAGGCAGGCTGAGAGCACTAGATTTTTTACTTTAGTTCGGTGAGATTCTTGAAGGATGAAGCGTCAAGAAGGAAAAAAACGATCAAAGAAAGAGCTGGATCTTGTAGATCGATCGAAGAAGGTGAAAATGGGACTTGAGGAAGCTATGAAGGATCCAAAAGATGACTTGCAAGAAGATCAACATTCTGTAGAACAGAAGCCTGATCAGGTGCACTCGATCCTTAATCTTTCTGAAACTCATTCATTTAAAGACATGGTATTAGGAGCTAAAGACCTAGATCTACTCCTTAATGACGATGAAATCCTAAAATTAGTTTTAGAAGATTTTAATCTTAATCCTAAGAATAATGAGAATGAGGAAATAATGTTAGATACCCATAATCTATGCCCTGACTTGAAAATTCCTTTAGAAGATTATGAGGTTTGGTGCTCCCTTTGGAAGTACACCCTTATTATAAAATTGTTAAGGAAAAATGGTGAGTTTTAACTTTCTGAGCCAAAGATTAAATAATATTTGGGATAAAAATGGTTCCTTACAAATCCTAGACCTAAATAATGAGTTTTTTTCTAGTTAAGTTTGAAAGAATGGAAGACTATAAAACTGTCCTTTTCGAAGGACCTTGGCTTATTCTTGACCACTACCTTCTCATTTAGAGATGGAGACCCTTGTTTAGGACTAAGAATTTCAATATTAAAAGAATAGTTGTTTGGGTTCGTATACTCGATCTTCCCCTAGAATTATAAAATAACAAATTTGTTTGGCAAGTTAGAGCTTACTTAGGGTCAATGCTTAAAGTTGACCCTTATACATATTTGCTATCTAGAGAAAAAATTGCTAGGATTTGTATTGAAATTGATCTTAGGAAGGAATTAGTTTCAGCTTTTAGAGTTTTAGGACAAGAGTTTAAGGTTGAATATAAGGGACTACACCTAATCTGTTTTAAATGTGAAAAATATGAACATAGACTAGAGCAATGTGGGAATATTGAGAAATTTACTCCAGTTAATATGGAATAGGAGAATTCTCAAACTAGAAATCCTAAGTGCAGTGAGGGAGAGCAACCTGATAATGGTAGTGTAAGTAAGGATAAATTTGGTGAAGATCTAGGAGGGGAGAATATGTATAAGGAAGACTCTTTTGGTCCTTGGATGCTAGCAAAAAAGCAATTTAGGAAAAAATCTATCCATAGTCACTCCTCTGGACCCATCCCTAAACTTAGAAAATCTAAAGATAGTAATTTGGGATCTAGATATGACAATTTATGGGACATTGAAAAGGAGGTGGATCAGTATTTAGAACCTGTAGGACAGAAGGCCCATATTACTGATAGGGATTATACTAGTACGCAGAAGGACTGTATTTCTATTAAAATGGATAGGAAAACTCTTAGTAATCCCAGATTGGGTGAGCTTGCTAAAAAGAATCCCAAAGTTAAGGTTCCTTTTAAACCTATGAAGTCTAGAAAGGATAAAGCTTATTTGCCTCAAGCTAAAATTATTAGCAGTGATAATTGTCACCTTGATATAGGAAATCATAGCCAAGAGCAAGAAAGTAAAGAAGTTCTAAAACTAATGTCTTGTTTTAAGGAAAATATCCAAGAAAATTGTAATGGAAACCACAACATCCTTGATCCCATGGGTGTCAATTGTGATGCCTTATGGAAAACTCACGCTGAGCGAAATAAAACCCTTTCAGATAGACCCCCTGGACCATCTCTACAAATGGAGGTGGATAAGATTGGCCCAGTTAATCTGAATAGTCATGTTGATATCCTAAATAGAGATAGTGTCCCTCAACAACAAGTTGTTGCTTCTAAATTCTATCACTAATATTATGAATTGCTTATTCTAAAATTGTAGGGGTGCTAGGGGTAAAACTTTCCCTAGAGTCATTAATGACCTAATCAAAATTTATCATTTTGACTTTATTTCAATTTTTGAAACTAGGATTCCTTCTAAAAAAGCTGTTATGGTAATTAAAAAAATTAACTTAGATAGTTCTGTTAGAATGGATGTTGTTGGCTTTTTTGGGGTGTTTGGTGTTATTGAAACTCTAGGAAAATTCAAGTTGATGTGTTAGATAAAAATAAGTTTTTAATCCATCTTAGAATTAGTAATGGTC